TGCCTGTCTGTCTCTGGTTGCCTCTCTGTCTTTTGGCACTGCGCAGCTGCAGCCGTTTCACCCACGCCAGGCCCAAAGCCAAAGCACATAACTCTTACAAAAAGAGACAGACAGATGGGACGAGAGACACAGACAGACAGACGGACAGACGGACAGTGCCGTGCATAAGTACACGCTCATATGTCTATGCAATTTATGAGTGAAAAGCTGTGTGCGACTTTTACAAATGAAAATGCCATAAATTCAATTAGAGTTTTTCTTCGCTTTTGCCTGGCTTTTCCTCGATTGCAAATCAGAGCAGATCGTCGTCCCCCCTCCCACCAAAAAGCAGGTCGCCTGTTGCGCCCCAATTCCTTCATTATAGCAGCCTCCACCACTCCTGCCGGCACCAAAAAGTCAAATTAGTTTCGCGCATTTGATTCAATTAATGTTTTTGGGGTTGGGGTGGGGTGGAAAACTACTCATGCCGTGGCACACGCAGGGAAAATCTATTTATTTAGAGAGCATCGCTAAACAAATATGTAAATCTTCTCCAGGCCTTTGATGTTTTTGCTTCTTGGGTTTTTCTCCTTTTAATTGGCTTTGCGAGTTAATTTTTTGTTTTTCCATTTTGGCCAGCATCAGGCGGAACCATAAAACGAAACATTTTGTAACCAGGCCAAGAAGAACTAGAAGAAGAATCCACACACCCCACCCCCCCCCCTTTTATCTTGCAAGAAAACACTTGTAAATATTTTCAGTGTTGCATCAACAAACATTGTAATCGAGTGAATTTTTTGCGTCAGAGATGAATGTTCCTAAATGGTATTCGATGTATGTATGTATGTATGTATCTCTGGGGGCTTCAGTCATTCGTTGATGAGATTTTTGTTAATCGAAAGCAGGGGGAAAAGGGGAAATAAAAAGGGGATTATGTAAATCATGTCAACATGTGTGGGGTTAGAGGGATTTTATGTGGATTTGGGTGGGGGTTTTTTTTTTAATGCTGGTCAAGGCAATAAAGTTTCTAGTAAAACGATTTTCTGACAAGAAAATTCGTAGTGGAATGAATGGAATGGATGGTAGTATTTCTCATACTTTGTATGCTTCAATGGGATCTTTCCACACATCACCAATTATCTTAAAACATCTCAATTATCGTGCAACATATTGTAGAATTTGTGAGGCAGCTACAGTGAAAGCTACTTTGGCGGAACGACGACTACTACTCCCTCAACCGTTCCATCACTCATTGGGAATCTCAATTGGAAATCGTGCGTGTGTGTGTGTGCTTTCACTATTTCTCTATGGATTGATAAATGAGAGAGAAAGACTACCCATGGGTAGAGATTCCTCTGCAAAGCTTGAATTATTATAGAATTTTTCGAATTTTTAGATGTAGACTAAACTACAGAAGAAATGCTTTTTTTCCCTTGAAATATTCACCACATCATGGGTATAGATTCCTCTGTAAAGCTTGAATTGTTATAGAATTTTTAGATGTAGACTAAAATACAGAAGAAATGCTTTTTTTCCACTTGAAAAATTCACCACACCATGGGTAGAGATTCCTCTGCAAAGCTTGAATTATTATAGAATTTTTCGAATTTTTAGATGTAGACTAAACTACAGAAGAAATGCTTTTTTTCCCTTGAAATATTCACCACATCATGGGTATAGATTCCTCTGTAAAGCTTGAATTGTTATAGAATTTTTAGATGTAGACTAAAATACAGAAGAAATGCTTTTTTTCCACTTGAAATATTCACCACAAACTGTGCTCATAAAATACTATCTGCTGGAGCAGGATCCAAACTTTTGAAAGATTTGCTCCAATTTTCTACACCACTTAACATGCAAAATCTTACGAGTAATATCGCAACTTTAGTTTGGGGAGTTGGACAAAGAAAACCAAACCCAAAAGTTTGATATTATTCTCTGTATAATAAACCCCACCCCCCCGACCCAAAATGAAACGAAACTTTTGACATATTTGCATAGTTTTAAACACACACACATACACACAGGCAGAGTTTTCAGGGGGGTAGTAGGGGTAGTTACTTTAATCGTATGCAACAGCAACATAAATTTTCAACGAGCAATCGCATCCGGTAGCAGCACCAGCCGCAGCCCCAACCCCAATCCTGTCCCTGCCACATGCCTCCCCACTGGCACCACTGGCAGAACCACCGCCCACATGGAATTTATAACAATAACAGAAACTGAGCTCATCGAAATATATATTCTTTTCTCATATGTTTCTTTGTATTTCTTTTGTGCTCTTTTTTTTTCTTTCGTTAACTTTTTGTTGTTGTTGTACATACATCTGTTTGCTTTTGTTTGTGTGGAATATTGTGTATTTATTTTCCATCGCTTTTGTTGTTTCTGTTTTCAGTTTTAATTTTTTTCAATTTTTGGTTTTTTTTTTTTGGCTTTGCTCCACTGCTAATTTGTTTACCTGAGAGCTGGAGAGAAAGAGAGTGAGTGCATGCTCCCCATTTATATAGATCTGTGTGTGGTTCTCTATGGCTCTGTTTTTTGTTGTTGCTTATTTTGGGACCCGAATAAAACATCCAACAGGTAAAAATAATGTTTATTTTTTTTTTTGTGCGCCTGCCGACAAATCAATGAAAAATTTTGCCTGAATTGAGCGGAAATTTAGAATTTGGAATCTAAATTTACATTTTTTTGGGGTCGCTGAATTTAAATTTTAATGGGAAATGGCCGACAAAAACGTGTTGAAAGAATGGAAACAAAATGTTTCTGCATAATTTGTAGACGCGTTAGAAAACAACAACAACAAAAGCAATAGAGAGCATTTAAAATATATGTTACGAATTTAGGATACCCTATCAGTGGATATATTTAAAGGGTTTTTATGATGTGCAGTATAATTGTCTTCTAAAAAGGTCTAGAAATATGATTAGTTTGGGAGAGAATTTTATTTGTATTCCGTTAATGGGTTTTATAAGTTTTAAGTGAATTTTTAAGAATTGTGGATGCCCCACAAGATTTACAAATCCATGAAAAAAAACTTTTCAACCCACCGAAATCGTTCTGATTTTTTTCTGAGTAGTTCCCATCATACCCCGTCTCCATGCCAAGTACCTATTACTACAAAAAGTAGCAGAAATAAATTGTAAATCAAATCGAAATGTTTAACACATGGAGCGCACTCTCGGGGCACCACTCGCGAGCATGGGGCAGACGAGGCAAGAATTATGTACATATGTATGTATAGTAAATTCTGTGTGGCGAAAAAAGTGGCACAAAGTGTGCAGAGCACACAGAAATTTCAATGGCTAACGCTGCTTGAATGAACAGAAAAGAAAAGAAAAGAAAAGAAAGACAAGAAGGGCGGAGAGAGCTGTAGAGTTGGAGATCTCCAAATAAAAGCCCATGCTGCCAATAATTATTGAATGGTGGAGTGGAGTGTGTTGGTTGTTGTGGGCATGCAACTTGTAGCGCTTCTCCCTCGCCATCAGAAATGTGAATGTGTTTCTCAATTTCAAGTTCGAGACCCAAAAAAAAAAACAAAATAAAACAAAACAGAAAAGTTCCATCTCTGTGTGTTGCGGTTTTGTTTTTTTTTTTTGCTCGTTGGATCCCTCCAGACAGGTAGCAGCTGCGCCTAATTGTTGAAAGTGACTCTCTTGTCTTGTGTGCAGATACATTTCTTTTTTATTTATTGTCACGTTTACTATGTTTTAGTCTCTCTTTTGCACCGTTCTGGTTGTGGTTCTCTGTTCTGTGTGATGTCAGACAACCTTGAACCTTTTTTAAATGTTGTTTTTTTTTCAAATATTTATAACTGGCATCGCATCCACAATCCACAACTTTTGCTTTCGTTGTTCTCGTCGTAGTCGTCGTCGTTTTGGGGCCGCTAATTGGCACGGAAATTGTGCTGCTTGGGGGACTGGGAAGCCGGTTTAAACAATCATCGAACTGTAAACCAGTTTTGGGCATTAGACACCCATGAATTTTTCAGTGTTAAAGTCAAATGTTTGTCTTGGTTCAGCAGGCTGAGGCGGGAGGGGTGGCTAGAACCACAGTGGTATGTGGAGCACATTCCATGGACTAATGGCAATAATCGCGCACGCGTAATTATATATAATTTTCAATTGAATGATTAAATGACTGAAATATTTTGATTTGACATCTATTCGATTTTAGTTATCATTGAGAAATTATGTTTATGTTTGGTTGATAAGATAATTGATTGACTGATTGATTGATTGTTGCGCTTGCTGATAGGCATGGACAGCTAATGGATGTTTTTAGGTTAAATTTTCTGTTTTGGTTTTTCATCGATTTGATATGTGGATATGTTGTGCAACACTTTTGTGGAGAGATGTTTAAGCATAAAATAATGTATTTTGTTTTTTTTATTTAGAGTATCTATTTTTGAGGTGGGAATATATTTCTGCTGAAGTTTGTAATTTGTTTCCGTACACATTGAATATGTTATGGAAATTTTCTATATATATACTAATAATATTATTCGAAACAGAAAACATATTCATACATACATACATCAAATATATATAATAAATATAATTATATACTCCGAATTATATAAATATATATAAATATAATAAATATATCAACTCCCTCAATTCCCTAAGTTTCTTCGCCTTCGGAGCCTTCGGAGCCCTCTGAGCCTTTGATTATCTTCAAAACCATACAATCTGAATACCAAAACGTATATCTGCCAGTCAATAGTTCATCTAGACTGGAAATTTATGCTCCAACTATGAATTTGCACAAGGGAAATGGAAGCGAACCCCTCAAGTCGAAATCTATGTAGATGTCCTCCCAGATCGCTTTTCGCATTTTCGCTGCATTTCTCAAAACACTTCAAGAGCTTTCTCTCTCTCACTATCTGTGTATCTGTATCTGTTCCCTGGCTGCAAACACCTCTCCCATATCTAGATATATGTATCTCCATATTCCCCATTTCTTGGTCTCCTTTTTGCGGCTGTATGTCTGTGTGTGTATTTGTTTCTGTAAGTACAACTCACTTGTAGGAGCGCTATCACCAGCTGGATGGGTCCACAGCGGACGACAACGGTGCCGATGGTTGTGGCACGCAGCGAGGGGGCAGCGGCAGCGGTGGCGGCAGCGGTGGCGGTGGTGGTGCCTGTGGACAGGGCCTGGCTTGGAGTTGGCGATGATGATGACATTGTTGCTGAATAATTGAAGGCGTCTAGCTGGGACGATGGGGACGGATGGGACTGCTGTGACTGCTGTGATAGCTGTGACTGGAGCTGCGGCGGCGGCTGTGGATGTGACTGCGACTGCGACTGGATCTGGCGACTCGAGGAGGCAGCCGAATAGAGCGAAGACATCGATGAGTCTAGGGTTTGGCGACGTTCCATGGCGGCTAACTGTTTTTCAGTGATGGAAGCGAGCGAGAGCGGGTGGTGGTGTTCGTGGTGCTGTCTGTTGTTGGGCTCTTCGTCTGGGCTGGGATTTGAGGTATGGGGACGGACGCGGACGCGGACGGACTCCTCTTGTTGTCGGCTTAGCGGCTACGTGTAGTATTTTGTTGTTGTTGTTTTTGTTTTTTTTTGTGTGTGGGCGTTTATAATCTTTCTCGTTTAGGTTGCTTCTTTCTTTCTCTCTCACTGCCTCTCTAGTTTATTTTTTTTTTTTATTGTTTTAGCTTGTTGTACATTTTGAACTCTACACGGAACACGAAAGACACGACAGAGATAGATAGAGAGACGCGTTTTGCTTGGGTATTTTGTTGTTGGGTGTTTTGTTTTTTATTTGGTGGGTTAGTTATTGGGGTTTCGTTCGCGGATTTTGTCGTTCGAGTTATAGCTACGATAGTTCCTTTTATTATTCGATTTGTGCTGCTCTTTCGTTGCGAGCGCTATCAACGCCGCCGATCGTCTGACTACCGGGCAACTACGGCTACGGCTCTACGGGGCTCTACCAGATCGGTACTCGCATAAAATTTGAGCAAAAAATAAGCATACGAAATGCGAATCGAATGCGCGACTATGACTTCATGCCTTGCTCTGCTCTGCTCTGCTCTCTCTCTCTGTCTCTTTGAAGATCTCTCGATCTCTTGTCTGTTTATTATTGTACGGGCAGCACAACAATTGCTATATATACCTACGATCTGCTTTATAGCGAGAGATATTCGCATATTGAGCCTGAGAATAATTGCCTTTGATGCGTACTACTAGTCGGTAGTCTCCTCTCTCTCTCCCTCTCTCCCATTGATGACAATGCTCGATTTGTGCTTATTTTTAAACACATAAAACTATTGAGTAATTTTTTGTGGCGAAGCCCAAAACTGTTGTTCTAGCCTAGATACGATTGATACGATTCCTCGAGCAGATATTCGCACACGGATGTGCGTCAACAAAAAGATACATTCTGCATTGATGTGGATTGGATGTGCCAATTGCCAATTGCAAATTGCAAATTGCATTGCCAGCAAACCCATCACAACAGCTCTCATAGTCGTCACGATTTTGTTCCTTTCCATCTTTTAGATAGATATGGCCATAGATTTTCGACTATATTACGTATACGCCATGGAGCAGGCCCTGTGGCTTTGGCTGTGCCTGCAGCCAGCTGCTGTTGCCGCCGCCGCCGCCTCGATTAGGTAATTTTTGGTTTTCTCTCAATGTTTAATAGCCGCCTGTCTCGGGCCTGGCCGCTGGGCGTAATGTAAACTATTTTAATTGTACTTTTCCCCAAAAAAATCTATAAATAAAAAAAAAACACACAAGATCCAAGAGTGTATGCTTTTGGGAGATTTAATTTACACTAACAGTTTGTTGCCCGCCCGCGTGTGTTTTTGTCCAAAAGAAACATTTTATGGAGCTTTTCAGTTTCGGATGGAATCCTCTAGCATTTTGTGGGGGGCGGGGGAAATGATCTTTCAGATCTTTCACTGCCTTGCCCTGCCCATGACTCAGTGTTTTGCATGAATTGCGCCGAAAACATTTGAAGGGGGGAACCTGAGAACAAAATCTTTGCATCTACGAAAACGGCTAATGACTCAAAATCGCGTACAATAGTGTTCTGCAGCATTTAGGCCAAGCATACATTTTTGTTTGGCTTTTCAACAATTTTGCAAATGTATTTTCTTTAATAATGTTTCAAAATATATTTCGATTTTTTTTCGCTTTTTTCCCGCATTTCTATGTCAGCTCTTTTCTATTTTGCGTATATTATTTGTTTGGGCATAGAGATTTTACGCTTTGAGGGTCGGTTCCACCAACTAGATTTTGTGACAGCAACAAAAATTAATTTAGAACGAAATTTGTGGCTTTCGAACGACAAAACCCAACAACAACAACAACAAACTAGCGCCAAGAATTTTGAATGGCAATTCCTGAGTGAATTATGGCTTATTAAAGGTTTTTATTTTATTATTCTTTTTTTTTTTTTGTTTCACGCGCAGCTCAAAGCAAATGTTTTTGTTGTTTTTTAGCTTTTTGTTGGATATTTTCTTTAATTTAATTTACATAGATATGTTTTTGTATATTCGCAAAGTGAGGAAGATGTGATCACATCGGAGTGATGAGTAAAAAACGCGCGCGTGCCGCCTGCCGAACAACCGTACGACGCGAACTTCGGACCAAGACTACTGACCCGTCCGATCGCGAAGACAACACAAACACAGTCTTCAGTCTGCCAGCAGGAGAGAGCGCCACAGCAGCAGCAACAGATGGCAAGTATAACCGATTCGCTCATTTGCCATGCCATTTGCGGCGCTCTCTCGCTCTCTCTCTCTATGTTGCTTACTCTCTTGGCGCTCGCTAAGCTCAGTTTATGGGAAAAAAAAGCCGGCTCGGGCCTTGGGTGCTGAGTGGTGTGAGAATGCGAGAGAGTGAGAGAGATGGGGAGGCAGTGCATGGAGAGAGAGAGAGGGAGGCCGTAAGAGATCGGGGGGCAGGCGACATAAATAAACAAGTGCTCTTGGCATTCGGTGCGTCGTTAATTCATGATTTCAATTTTTAATGCCCTGCGCCCGGCTTTTCAGCAATTACAATACCAGCACAAAAGGTGGAGAGGGAGAACGATGTATCCACAGAGAGAGTGAGAGAGCGAGCGAGAGTCTTACTTTTGGTACCCTGTAGGGCTGTCGCTGCTGATTTGCTTTTAGGAGTTTTATCCAAAGGGTAGAAGCGATGCTGATGGAAGAGTCAGAGAAGGAGAGTTGCAGCGAGAGGAGGATCTTTGCTAATATACCCTTACAGGTAGAGGGTAAACAGCAACTGCAATGTGCTCAAGTGCCGCTTTGGGTACTTTAATAATATAGCAAAACAGAAAAGAAGAGAGAAGATGCGTTGGGGCAGGGAAGAGAGAAAAAGCAACGCAACAACCTGACTGCAACGCGTCATAATTTACGCTAGAAGGGGGGCTAGAAGGCAGGCCCTGCCCGCATTCTGAGAAATTCAGAGCCCTTCTATACCCTATAACCCACCCCACCCGCCTCTTGACTGGTTACTCCTTCCCTATGATTTGCCCCACTCTCCCCCCCCCCCCCACTTTATTGAAGTATTTTCCGCTGCTTGAGAGCAGCTCAAAATGCGTGTGGTGTGTGGCAAGGGGGCTCCCCTTGGAGGCCGAACTTTAGTTTCAACTTTCAGCTGTGCAGCTCGTTCATGCCACACGTTGCATGCTGCACAGCTGCAGCAATCATTGATTCCTGCACCAGCTGCCCTATTATCTTTCCGTACGAATTTATGGAATCATTCTGGCTTTCCCTCACGAAATCCGATCAAATTGTGTGAAAATTATCTCCAAGATACGCGTGAGAGTATCTTTCACTTTTTGATTGCTGATTTCGCTTGTCGAGGATTTCTTGTAGATCTTTTTCTCAAGTCGATTTCATTCACAGTCCCCCCCCAAAACCACACACAACACAACATGCTTGATAATTTTATTTATTTCTTTTTAATTGAAATTAATGAGGCACTTGGGGCAGTCACAGTGCCAGAGCGCCAGTCCACATCATCCCCCACTACCATATTGCTTCAATTCGTAACCCCTTCTGACAGCAGTGCTACCCCACCCCACCCCTCTTGACAGCTCACATTTCACATAATTGAAATCACTTGAGCGACAGACCGCAGACCTCCGATAAGGCAGGCGGGACCACCCACTTCGACAAAAGTTTTCTAATGATGGGTGGGGGGGTTAAAAAGAGTACCCGAGAGCCAACGGGTTAATGAAGATCACTTTGCTTCTGGGAAACAGCCTATAAGTATGCAATCTTTTGATTCAACTAAAAAAAAAACATTTGAGATATTTTTTTCCTGCAAAAACTAAGTAAAATATACAGCAAAATAAACATTAAATTCCCGCATTACTTACGTGGCAAAACATGCTAAAAATTACTTTTAAAAATTAGCTGAAATTTGGGAGAAAAATATTATTGACAAACATTCCAAATGATTAGTTTTATTGTTGTTGTTGTTGTTGTGGGCTAAAACATTCATCAAATATTCATATTAATTGCACTAGTATATTTGTTGTGACTAAATGGGAAAGAGAATTATAAAATAAATATATTTTCTATATTAATAATTTATGTAATTAATGGCCAAATTTTTGACTTTCTGGAGTGTAAATTTCATCCATTTAAACTAATTTTTTTATTTTTTTTTTATGTAAATTCTTGTAAATTATTTTTGTTGAAGCATTTTGGAATTCTCTAAATTTTGCCAAAGCCTTAAACTAAAATTCAACTAAAATAATAAATAAATACAAGAAACAAAAGGAAAACTCATGCAAAGAAAAAATGGGAAAAACAAACGAAACGAAAGGGAAAACCGCATTTTAGCTCATGAGCAAAAATAAACTTAGAAAGAGAAAGAGAGAGCGAGAGCGAGAGAGAGTGGGGAAACAATCATCATAAATAAGAGACGCCAACTAATTTTTGTCGTAATTAATGGCAAGCATTTCATTTTTTTTTTTTTTTTGGGCAGCAAATGGCGCGTATTAATTGGTGGGACAGACTGGGGTAGGATCAGAGGAATCCCTTGATCGTTTGCTTCGTTATATTCTCGTAGTATTTACTGCGCCGCCAGGAAGCTGGTGGTTTCGGTTCGTTGGGATTAGTGGCATCTGGATCGAAAGCAGAAGCGGCTGCAGCAGCTGAAGCTGAAGCAGTGGAGGATGCAAACCTCGTGGCACTCACCTCCGGCGTGTGGGCAGTGGATGAGCGTGGAGCCAGCTCGGTGGTGATGCCTGTGGCCAGGCTAAAGCCCTCCATTTCGCTGTCCGATTCGATGGCTTGCGGCAGTGGCAGTGGCAGCAGAAACTCCTGCTGCTGTTGCTGTTGCTGTTGCTGCTGCTGCTGGTCCTCATCCGGCGTGGGTGTGACACTCTGGCTATGCAACTCGGCCACACCCACCACACTATCCTGATCATCGCACTTGAGGGTTTGCTGCTGCTGCTGCTGCTGATGGGCGGAGAAGTAACTCAATTCGGAGCTGTCAAAGGACATGTTCACTGGCGATGGCGGCAGTTCGGGTATCTCAAAGGTGCTCAGCGTGGAATCGTCAGCCTCATCGAAGGAGTTCTTGGCGGAGCCTATGTAGGAGGCCGTTTGGAACGAGGACGAATGCGAATTGGGTGTAAAGTTGCCCTCGGAGGCGGTGGCAAAGGATTCATCCTCCGTGGAACGCGATTGCCAGTCCTAAAACGTGCAAAAAATTACTCACATTAGAATTGTTTCGCTTATGTGGGAAAATCCTTCCCTTTCCTTCCTTACCTCAATGCTGGCCAATTTCTTGTGGCCATGTCCTCCGCCACTGCCGCCGTTCGTGATGGACATGCCAGCGGGGCCAGCGCCAACTTCCTGCTGCTGCTGCTGAACATCCCGTATGACGGCATCCAGGGACTCGGCCACCTCGGCAATGGCCCCCAGCTTGTGGGAGATGGCAGCGCAGGCCAGCTCATTGCTCCCTGTGGGCACGATCCTCAAAGTGGCTGCCGGCGACAATTCCCCGGGCACTTCGCTGCCACTGGCACTGCTGGTCCGTCCGCTGTCGTGCATAAGGGGACTGGGGCTGCTGTCCAGCGGCAGTTCATCGGCCACCACACTGAAATCACCAGAGAGACGTGGATTAGCATCAGGGGGGCCGGTTGCACCCGAATCCAATGAGGCGGTGCGTGAGTGCGAGGGCGTCGGCTCCTCCGTTTCGTTGTCGTTGTCATTGTCGTCGGTGTAGTCGCTCTGGGGATACGTCTCACTGTCGTTCCGAATGAGGGCTTTGATCTTGTCCAGACTCTTGAGGGTTTGCTCCCCTTGATAATTCTCTTCGTCCACCTGTTCCGCCTCCTCTTCGGACTCCTCAAAGATAATATCACGTTCGATGGAGGCTTTGGCTATCTTTGTCTTGACACTCGACGTGCTGGCCGTCTCATCGTCATCGTCATCTTCATCCTCATCCTCTGCGGCATCTTCGCTGCTCATCTCCGAGAGCTTGCTGGCCTCATTGATGGCCTCCAGAAGTTTGCTCAACTCCTGGCTGGAACCACTGATTGCAGCATCCCCATACCCATTGGCCAGATCCTCCTCTTCGCTGGCCAACGGAGCAGCGGCGGCATTTGTTTTCGATTCGGTTTCGGTTTCAGTTGCCGTTTGGGTCTCATTTTCTGCCAGCTCTGCCACATCGGGCGCTTCATCGACCACAATGCTGGGCACTTCCGGTCGAGTGTAGGCTACCGCCTGCTGCTGCTGCTGCTGCTCCTCCTCCGCTTCCTCGCCATCGCCCTTTGATTTGGCAAACAAATTACGAAATCGGGCAAACATATTCAGCGTTTGGGTTCGTGTTGTCTGTGGATGCTGTGGCGCCTCTGGCTGGGCGGGACAATTAGTTTGACGTAATGCACGGGAACACGCGTTTGGCTCGAGGCCAGGGTAGCAGCACAGGGGAGATGTCTCTGTTTGTCTCTCTCTCTTTTACTGATAATTGTAGTCTCTAATTATTCACTTGGCCAGGATTAGCATGGGAGCCTCATCACACAGAGAGAGAGAGATAGAGAGAGCGAGAGGGAGGGAGAGTGAGCTACCCATAAAGACACTTCTATAATTATCACTTTCCTCACTTTTGACCCACTTCGTTGCGTGTCTGTCGGCTTCTCCAGCCGGCAAAAAGATTGGATTGGAATTCTCTAAATATTCTTCCCCGTTTATATGCGTATATATATGTATATATATCTGTATACTATGTAGTATTCTGTGTGGCTGAGTGTTTCATTAATTTGACAACCTGTGACAGTTGCTCGCGCGCCTTCAACAACTTTTTTCCCGCTCCGCACAGATCTCGCAATAACGAACGATGAACCGCACTGGACCACGCACTTAAATAGACTGGCGGCTGGCAGGCAGCTCTTTCGGGGTTCCTACTTTCTACTGATAGATCTTTTAGTCTCCATATATATGTATTTAAGTGGTTGTTGTAGTTTTTGAGTGCGTCGTCGCTCTGACATTTGTTTTATTCTGTCAAAAATTTATTTTTAATTATTCTGTAGGATTTCCGCTGGTTATTTAGGAATTATTGTGGGGTTTGGTATTGCTATAGATGCATTTTGGGTACATAAAACTTATTCTGTTTTTGTTTTGTTTTTAGGAGTTCTGAATTACTTTCGAAATAAATTTTTTGGGTATATCCTCCATTATTCTCAGCATTCTTTCAGTTAGTTCCCTTTTGTCTACCAATTCTTGGAAATATCTTCTCTAAATTTTGGTTAGAGCATTCACATTTCGTTCTCTTTTGTGTTTTTAATTACATTCCAATTTGTCATTTCTTTTTCTTTTAGTTTTATGTCGCACAACTTATTAGTTTTTAGTTGTTTTTGCTGTCTTTGGGTGGTTTTTGCTTTGCTGCTGTGGCTAGCGGCGCGAACTCGTGGGATTTGAGTGGAAAACTTTACCCCTTCCATAGTTTATATGCAGAACGCTTTTTCCTGCCGCGCGTTTTATGCGTGGAGCATAATGAATGAGCCGCTGGCATGCTTGAAGTCCAATGTCCAGGCACTCACGCAACTGCTGCCAAGTGGAATAAAGAAGAAAGGGGGAAGGTGGTGGGTGTGGAACCCTGGGAACACTCACCTTTTGCCCGTGAGGGCATCCAAGACAAACGGCTCCTTCAGTCGCTTCTTCAGCAGCCTACCCAGCCGCACCATGCGCCCTACTTCCACCAGCAGCTGCTCCCTGGCCAGCAGGTGACGCTGTAGCCGCGCCGGCAGCTCCCCCAACGAGGCGCCGACCGGCGACAGTTCCGCCTCCGTCTCGGCCTCGGCATCGCTGCTGATCCCGCTGCTGCTGCGGTTGTGCTGCTGCCGCTGCTGCTGCTGCAGCTGCGCTGCAAGTTCCTTCGTCAGCAGCGGTCGGAGTTCCCGCAGCTGGCGGTAGTAGGCCTCGACGCTGCGATGGAATACGGCCGAGACGCGCAGGCGGGTCATCTGCTCCTGGGCAATCGACTGCAGGCTGTGCCAGGTGTGCTGCAGCTGGTGGGCGATGTGCTTGGTCTCGGGCTCGGGCTCGGGCTCAGGCTCAGCCTCGTTTGTGGTTGTAGTGGCACTGCGTTCCAGTTTGCAGCACAGACGCAACGTCTGGGAGGCCTCCACCAATTGGCAGCCATAGTTGTAGATGCTCTGAATGCGGTTGGTGGAGGGGAGGGAGGGAGGTGTGTGGAGATTGAAAAATTAAGGTTACTACATAAAATTACTACAAACAAAATATTTAAAAAATTAAGAAAATAATAAAAAAAAAAAAATAATTTAAAAATTTGTAAAGAAAAGTTTAAAAATACCAAATAAAATAAAAATAAAAAATTCAACCCAAATATATAATTACCCAAAGGTTTCAGAAAAAATATTATATATTATAATACATAATATAATAATATATATAATATAATACAATCTCTCTCTCTCTCTCTCTCTGCCGCTCTCATTTCTCTTGCAAGCTTTTCCCCCCAAAAATAATACACACTCAAAAAAAAAAAAAAAACAAAAAACAAAAAGAAAGAGAGGAAAAAAAAACTACTCACTCGACCGGTTTCCTCGAACCCCTGCAGCTCGTCCTTCTGCAGCTGGATCTCGTGTATGTTGCAGCCGACATGGGAGTGACACCGCAACAAGACCGCATAGAGCTCGCCCAGCCAGTCTCGAGCCCGTCGCGCGTCCTCCTCGTACGCATGGATGTGGGTCACCTGCTCCAAGGTGAGCCGCTGCAGCGCCAGTTGCTGTCCGCACACCTGACGTCTGCTGCGGCTGGCGTCGAGTTGGCGTCGCAGTCGGGCAATATCGAGGCTGTAGTCCAGCTGGAGGTCACGGCCCAGGGCGTCTTTCACTGGCATGGCCAGCATGTCGCTGAGCTTCTCGCCCTCGCGCACAAGTTCGCGTTCGATGTTGCCTGTGTGCATGTGTGTGTGTGTGTGTGTGTGGGGGGAGGTTCGATCGTTGTTTGATATGGGAAATGTTCGATGTTGGATGGCACTCACCCAACATGTTTTGGTTCGTTTTCAGCTGCAGGAGCAGCTGATCCGCTTCGTGCCACTCTAGGCAGCGGCTGTCCACCTCCACCACATGGTTGCCGGTGGTCAGCAGCTCCTCGAAGTGTTCCAGCAGGCGGTGGTACCTCAGCGCTGTCATCAGGATGTTCCTTCTGCGCTCCAGTCGCTTGGCAAAGGAGCGGCACACAAACTGCATGAAGTCGCGTTGCGAGAGCAGGTCCTGCACCTGATCGCTCGGCCGATCCCTGGAGAACCGCTCGATCTTGTACAGCAGCTCTGCATAGCAGCCGTAGGTGTCGCGGCACTCGAGCTCCAGCTGATCGTGGGCGGCGCGAAGGTTCTCGCACACCCGCACATCCCCACCCACACTCCGTTGGCGACCGAGCAGCTGCTCCGCCTGCTGCAGGATCCAATTCGTGACGAAGGCCACACCCTCCTCGAGCGTACCCCGTTCACGTGCCTCACGCAGTGAGCGCAGCAGCTCCAGCCAGGCGGTGCGTATCGCCGTCTGCTTCTTCTCGATTTCGTTGAGTCGCAGCTCGATGCGGGTCCGCTCGCAGCACAGATCCGGTGGCAGCGGGGGACCTCTCTGCGCAGGCGGAGGCGCTGTAGTGGCTGTGGCTGGGGTCTCGAGTGCAACAGGTGCGGCCGCTTGTGGCACTGTGGACTGCGGCTCGTAGACCTCGTTGAAGCGCGCCAAGATCGCGTTACCTAAACAATGGGGCGAAAGAGACAGAGAAAGAAATGTACCGTGTGGCACTCTGGGGCTCCCATTGAGGGGCATCTCTATTCTCGCTGTTCACACACACAAAAGTGAAACCTCTTCTCATTTCATGCTGCGGATTGGATTGGATGGGATGGGATTGTGGCATGTGCCAGCATTTCGTTGCGCATCAACGACTTTTGTGGCTTTAAGTGAAAGGTCACGTTTATTCGTTGTCTGTGTCTGTGTCTGTCTCTGTGTCTGGGCAGTGCGTGGGACACTCACACGAATTCCCCCCTATTCCCGCTGACAGAACTCGGCAAAAGTTGTTGAAATTAAAGTCGAAACGCTGTCTGGAGCACAGTTAAGAAAGATCGTAAACCGCAGGCAAAAAAAAAAACGATTTAAAAATAACTCAAAGAAGCCAACAAAAAGCATGAAATTCCCTTCTCTGGAATTGTGGCATAAAGTATCAATGTAGCATTTATTTTAAGTGGCAACAACTACCTAAAGTGAATTTTGGAATTATTTTCATTTTATTTTTATTTTTTATCTACATTTAGGATTTTTTATAAGTGTGCCTAAATATTCAGAAATCCCAATAGTAGGTCTAAATTATCTAAAACAAATAACACCAGGAATGCAACTGACTTTTCTGCTAAAAGATGACACACATACATATGTATGTATGTATTTATATTTATTTACCCATTGTTCTGACAAATATACATATCAATTTATTATGAGATAATTTCCAGAGCTTCTTGGAATCATTTAGCTAAATCTTCTTATGTTTCCACAAAGTAAATTTAATTTCAGGGAGTGTCATTTCTCGAAAGAATTATTCCTTAAATATTCTCGCAAAAATTTATGAAATTTAAGCCTTTGCCGCCCCATAATACCCTTGCCAGATTTGTATATTATTGATCATTTTTCTTGATCTCCATTAAGGCCTTCTGTAGGCCTCAATATAAGCTCTCCATTGGCATTATTTCAATGTTATTCAGTGCCGTTAAAGCCAACCCAAAAGCAAAACAAAAAACAAAAATTAATAAAAAAACCAAAAAAACAAACGCGAAAAACGAGTTTGCCAAACGTGGAGCACATTTCTAATTGAAAAAAAGACTCAAAATTCAATGATTTACTTGTCACCTATGTGTCTCAGCCTCTCTCTCTATCTCTCGCTGCCTCTCCGCTCCTTCCCCCCAGCTCTGCCTCTCCATCAGCCAACACGTTTCGAGGGCACTTTGAATTATGTTAATTGCTCGACGCAAAAACACTCACAAAAAAAAAAAAAAACAAATGACTTGAGCCACAAACTCGATTCGTAACAGCACGATTCGAAATTCGAAATTCGATTCGGAATTGAACTGTTGTGAGTCGACTCACCCATGTCAATGGCTGCCTCGATGCTGCTTTGGACGCGGGCATGCAATTGGGCGCACTTCTTGAGCTCCACATCCGCTTCCGTTGGTCGCATCGCCTTGTTGCCCCGCAGCAAAGTCAGCAGCTGTTCCATGGCACCCAAAGTCTGCACATGCGATTTGGTGAATTCATCAATGGACTGAGCCAATCAATGGCGAAATGGAAAAAGGAGGAATGTTTATAGACTCGAACTAATTGGTATTCAATGCTTGGCACTTACCTTGCGCTGTTGCAGCCACAGATCGTAGTTGAATTGCAGTGTGCCGCCCAGTTCCTCGGGCAGATTGTGCGGATCAATGAATTTTGCCAGACGCGATTTGGACAGCACCAAAGGCTATCGATAGACGATAAAATTAAGTATATTATCCTATGGCGATTTTTTGGGGGCTATCATATAGTTTTACCTCTCCTTTTGTCTGCGATTTGGCGCATGGCTCCACATGCTTCTCCCAGAAGCCCTCCGCCCTGACTAGATACAGATCCACACTGATGTCGCCCCCAAAGAGGTTGTAGATCTGACGCACCTGCTGGCGGCTGATCCGACTGCTGCTCTCCTGGGCATTCACGATCACGCTGACTCCATTCTGCAACACCGAAGCGCTGAAAGCAAAAAAGATTTGATGCCAGATTGAGGTTACAATGGAGAAGATCCGCACTTAAATGCTTCATTAGCCAGCCAGTTAAGTTTCCTGTTAATTAGAGAATATTTTTTTTTGTATTTTTTGGATCTCTGGTGACCCAATGCTTGGTTGGTTGATTGATCACGATCAATATATCCATAATTCATAAGGTTTTTCCATCTCTCTCTCTCTTCGTTTGATTGCTGCCTCGTAAAATTTAACAATTTGCTTGTTTTGGGGGGGAAAACAAAGGAGAGGCGCTGCTCTAAACGGCCTTTAAATGAGGCAGCAGGGGGAGCATATTCGTTGGTGGCAGGGGGGAGGAGATACTTCCATTTGTGTTTTTGATTGATTGCCGCTAACTACATTTTGCTTTCGCTCTTTTCAGACTACACGAAAAACAAAAGGAAATACCAAAATATGTAACAGCAAAATGTAAGTAGAGAATTATTATAATCAAAAAATATTTATTTAAAATGGAATAATAATTCTTGGAATATATACAATGGATCAATGGATTTAATACTTTAATATATTCTCTTTCAAATGAACTCTGGAGCATTCAAAACTATCAAAAGCATTTTTACCTTGAAGACAGTTCCCCCCGCTTAATGCCATCCATCGGAGCAGCTTTTAAACATTTACTTAGCCAAAGAACTTGTGACACTTTGCATATAAATAACCAGATATTGTCAAGCCTATAAGACCCATTCCTAATCAAAAGCAATGACAGAAAGAGAGAGAGAGGGAGAGGGAGAGGGGAAAAAAGAAACCTATATCATCTGCGGGTTATTTGCATATTTCGGCCATATGCTAATTAGTTGACGGCACACATCTTCTGTTCTTTCTGTTCTGTGGGGAGTGTGTAATTCTGTAATTCCCGAATATTCTCTCACCTGAGCGAACGCTTGAGATAGTCGAGCGTCAGCTGGAGATAGCGGCGATTCCACAGTTGTAGATCGTTGAAGGCATTCACAACGAATATGATGCGCTTCTGGCGATCAAAGCCGCCGGATAGATAGGCACTGCGCGTCTGCAGGGCATTCAACACGTCCTCCTCCATGTCTTCAAGGGATTACAATCGTCGGAGGGTTGGGACGATGATGATGCGGATGATGTTGGGATCGTCGCGATGATGCGGCTTCTCTTTAATTGTTAATTGAAGCTTTTGTGTCTCCAGCAGCAGGCAGCAGTCATTTCTACGATACGTAAATAAAGTGGGGAAAATGCTGTTTAAGATTTTCTTTTTGTTTGCTGGAAAATTAATACAAGTCACAGTTATGTGAGGCTGTTTCTGTTGATGTTGCTGGTGCCACTGATGCCTCTGATGCCTCTGCTGCTGCTGCTGCTGCTGCTGCTGCACAATGCTGCACATTTCCAAATGCCGCGCGACTTTGTTGGGGAACACGTTTGACAAGTTGCAGCTGCCTGAAGTTTGCCTTTAGCCAGAGCCAAAGCTAGAGCCAAAACCAAAGCCAGAGCCAGTCTCTCCACATGATTTTCACTATTTTCATGTTAGTTTAGGAGTTTTTTGTTGTTGTTGTAGTTTGTTGTTGATATACCCTAACAGAGAGGTACTTTTGTTGTGAAGAGGTGCATGGGGCTGCAGAGAAGCAGGGACAGGAATAATCTTCTGGCTAAATATTAACTCATATTTTAGAATAAAATTCCCACTTTTGGACGGGATGGCATCTGGATCTCATTCATGAAGGGAACGTAAACAAACGTTAACTTGAGAATTATTCATTGAAATCGAGAATTTAATATTGTTCCTATTGATCCAAACTGAAATCCAACTCAAATATGTTCAGGTTTTCTGTGGCACAAAATAAATTTGATGCAAATTTGATTTAGAATGGAAATATTATTGCCACCAGCCGTTAAACGAGTCAGTCACTTCATTCCCTTGACTTGATTTAATTTGATATTTTTCAATTCTGCTAGTCTTTTCCTTATATTATTTAGCGAGGGTATCCCAAAGCTTCGTTTCCCCAATTGCTAATTTTTGTTCTTGCTCTCTCTATCTCCTTCTGCCGCTCCGAGACTAATGGAAAAATTCCATTTTAGCGCATGAGTATTTTGACACAAATTGAAGTTAAGTTTTTTTCTTTTTTTTCTTTTTTTCTATGCCAGAGAGCAGCAGAGTGGCTGCAGCAGCGGCAGTTTGAACTTAATTTCCCGGCTGATAAGGGGCGCGGCATATACTCAAACGCAACGCACACACACACATGGCACACATACATAGTAGAATGAGAGAGTGAGTGAGAGAGAGAGAGAGAGCGCTGAAGAGTATGAGAGTGCAGTAATTCTTTCACTTGAATGTACGTGTAGTGCAACAACAAAAATCCTGTTTGCTTGAAAGTCCGTCTATCTTACAGTTATGCGTAAGTGGTCTGTCTGTCTCTCCTACTCCTGCTGCAGACCCAGACCCAGACCAAGACCCGACCCTCTCTCTTTACCTCTGCCGCTCTTCCTGGAGTCTCTCTTACAAACTTGCTCTGCTTTTTTTTTATGTTCTATGCCTGTTCGAGCAATTTGCACTGCTTTGCTTCGATGGAATGGAGTTGGTGGCTGGGGTTGGGATTGGGTTGGGTTTGATGGAGTGGCTACGTAGCAAGCAACCTGTTCCTTTGAGTAGCCTTTAGGAGAGGAAGCTGTAATAATTGTCATAGCTGTAGATAGGTAGCGGTTTTCCCCCCTTCATCCACCATCTTCATGCCACTTCCCCTACTGTGACTGCAGCTACTGCTTCCACTTGCCCTCCCCTACCCGCCTCTTTCGCATTGAATTTCAATTAATGGCAAAAAGGCCTGGAATAAAAAAAAAAAAAAACCTTGCAGCAGCAACTTTCTGGCTTGAGCATGAAAATATTTTCTGGTTTCAAATGTCAGTCTAAAAATTACTTTCAAATAAATATGGAATGGTAGAGTTATGTCTATATGAGGATTCAGCAGAAAAAGAATCACGAAAAGAATTAGCAGAAAAGGTAGCATGAAAGAATGGTCATGGAGAGTATTTTTGCTATGGGATACCCATTATTCACATTTATTTCTAGGAAGATTCGCTAATTGGAAGTTTCATTTAAGTTTAAGTTAAAGGGAAGATAAATACACTAAGCAAATGGCTGTACAGTGATAGATAAGTGAATAAATGCAAATCTATTAATTATGTGCGGTAAATCTTGACATCTAGAACAATATACCCCTCCTAGTACCCTCCAAATACCGAACATCGAAAAAAAGGGGTAGCTGAAAATTGCGACCCCCGCAGGGCAGGTAAAGCTCTCCGCTTTGCGCTAACAGGGCACACCTTTTCGGCTCCAACTGCCTATACCTCTACATCTGTGGCTGCTGCTGCTGCTGGTGGCACGTAAAAATGCTACTAAAATAGACAGCCCAGCCGCCGCCGCAGCAGCAACAACAATCAACCGTTTGAGTTTCGTTTCTGTTTTGTTTTCTTTCAATTTGGATAAACTTTCTTGAGAACTTTTTTGTTGTGCTGCCCTTTTTCTCTCTCCTCGCTGCGCAGACTGCGGGACTGCGACGTTGACTCTTCTCGGGGCAGGCAGCTTTTATTTTGTTTTATGATACGACGATAAGATCTATGCGGGGCAGGCGAAAATGAACAACGGCAACGGGCTGTTAAATTAATTGAAAAGTTCAACTGGCAGCAGCAACAACAACAGAAACAACAGCAGCATCAAAAAGTCATTAACATTTCCCCAAAAAATTTGTTTTAACAGCTGACAAATGTTTTTTTTTTTTTGTTGGTTTCCAAATGAGTTTTTTGCAGTTCATTCCCGCCGTATTCTTTGGTTTGGGGTATTTTGTAATTTGACTTGAATTATGTTGAAAAGTTTCACGTAAATGAGTTCTCAAGAACTCTTTTTGATTTTATCGATTCCGGATTCTTGATACGCGATTTGCCCAAACATTTTGTTGTTGTTGTCTTACTTTCGAATTCCCCAAACGGATTAATTTTTATTACGAGTATATCACCACCGTACCGCACCGCAACCGCAAAACCGCACGCAATCATCCGCCTCGACCGTCCGCACAATTCACGCGTCCAACTTGAAGTTTGGGGCTCGGGCTCGCATTTGTTGCTGATCTGCTGCTGCGTGAAAAGCTTAAATGGAACTTGGTTTGAGTTCGAGCCTCCAGCAGGTTCGAACTCGATCGCGGCTCGCTCTCGAACTGGGTTCGCCCTCGAACTGGGTTCGATCTCCATCTATGTTCGTTGTTCCCAAATGGATCCGCCGCCTGGTTGCAGTTCGAGTTGGTCGCGTGTCAGCTGTTTTTTGTTGTTTCTCTGCATATCAATTGAAGCCGTTTGTTTTTGTTGCTGCCTGCCCCCACCCCGCCTGCCCGCTGCTCAGGCTGATTACTTGCACGTTTTGCCCTTTTTTTATGGGCCGCATAAAACCTGTTCGCATGTGTTGGTTCGACTGCAGTTGGGGCTGTGGCTGGGAATGGAATTGGGACTGGAGTTTCTTTTCCGTCAAGTGCGCAAAATTAAAACAAAACATGCGTTTTGTTCGCTGATGGAGATATCGGGAGATTCTGTGGCGGCGGCTCTCCACCGATTTTCTTCCCTCTATCTGACGCTCAGTATCTGTTTTTCTCTTTCTTCTTCTCGTTTTTTTTTATGGATTTGTGCTGGATTTTGTGTTGACTGGGGCATTCCCCTGGGGTATTATTAAGGGGAGTTTCAGTCCTGGCATAGTATAAAATATTTCAATGAAAATTTATTCTTTCAATGGACTTTTTAGACTAAATTTGATCTCCTCAAAACTCAATCTTTCACTCAACTTGAACTGTTTCTAGGGTATCAACCATTCGATTATCTTAGCTCGCATATTTGCCCATCTCTTTGTTGTTTTATTCATGTATCGCACAACGTGGGAACTTTTAATTGTGTTGTGTGCATGGGATACTCTACTCAGCAGATACTCCACTCCGTACCAATACCGGGAATTGTTGTCCACTTTTCTTTTCTCTCTTTTCAACAGCAACAAAGAAGGAGGTAAGGAAAAAGTACTTGAAAATGCAAAAAAGGATATTTAGTATGCTCCTCTGGCAGGGCAAATATCAAAGATTTATTTGTGTGTGATGGGGAAAAAAATATATAAAAAATATAAAACCAGAACCGTACCGTTTCATGCTTCACTTCGCAATCTTATGAAAATTGGGGGGGGGGGCAATCGGGAGACCCAAAGCAAATATTGTGCCACTCAATAACAAACAAAAAAAAAGCAAAAAAGGATCCACTCTGGTCTGCTGCAAAGGGGTAGTGACAGTGGGTGGTGAGGGGCGATGTTACGACCCTTATAAACATGTCAATCACAAGTAAATTGTAGCAGATTTAATGGGCCCATCCAATGGGGCCTGTCCAACGGAATTTGGGTCCTCTCCGCTTCGCAGAGAAATTCCAGCGAATTCCGAGCCTCCGAGTTGCGGGTGAGCAATGCAAATGGCGGAGCGAGTGGGGCGAGAGAGACAGCGGGAGGAGCCTGTCATAGATTTGCCGCCTTTCCATTTCACTGCTTAGCGGGAATTTATGTGGGCCAGGGATGATATTTGGAGGCCTACGCCTGGGCCGGGCCTAGGCGCGCGATGGATTGTTTAATGAAACTTTAAGTGCGTGCCCGTCCAGTGAGGCACGTACCACAGAAAGCAAGGGCAGAGCAGTAAAGAGAGCGTGGCCGGATGTGGAGTGAAGGACTAGTGCCTGCACTCAATTGCAGTATGGCCGACCACAAAATGGCGTCGAAAGCACTTCCGCTCGAGTTAAAAACAAAAAGTCATGCAAGAAGCAGGACCAGCAGCAAGGAGCAGGAGCGGGAGTACCAGCATCATCATCGTACGTGAAATGTAGCCTGACTTGTTTTTTTAATAACAGCCGTCCGAGCAAAAACGAATCTCACCCCTCCCCCCACGCCCCAGAATCCCCCCTGACAGCTTTAGCGGCTATTAGAAAATTGCGAAAATTGCGCACACGTTTTCGAACACACACACACACCAGACCAGACCAGACCAGACCAGAGAGAGCGACGTTGCATGCCCCCGAGCAATCGAGTGCAGTTTGTGGCCTCAGATTTATTGCAGACTCGGAGTACCGTTCGAATTTTAAACAGTTTTTCGTTAAGTTTGGTTTATTAAGCCTCGTGCCACGAGGCAGAAGCAGGCGGAAGGCAGGAGGCCCCTCTGCATAATTCATCTGGTTTAAGGGTTTTCCACCATTTCATTTTCTACAGAAACACACAGAGTGAGAGAGAGGGAGAGTGGAGAGAGTCCTGTGATCCTTGTGGCTCGTTTTAAATCATTTGGCTGGCTGGCTGGCCTGGCCTGGCTGCCAGTAGTTTTTGGCCATTTTATGGACAGAGCAATAGGTGTGGCCGTTGATGTTTATTGGATGGATGGATAAATGGATACTCGTAGTAGTGCTTGCTTGGATTGGGGATTACTCTCAAAATATCCTAGTCCTAGTTTTTGTGGGTAAATTTGGTAATTTATGTTTAGTTTCTGCTTGCTGGAAAAATCGAGAGTTGAAGATTCGGAAAGAAATAAAGCTATTGAGTTTTCTGTGCTGTTTGTTCATTCCCTCAAAGCGGTTTAAAGCAAGAAAATTGAATGAGATTTAGAAGAAAATTTCAGGAAATAATTTTTGCTGAAGATAAATGTCCCCTCTGCCCTTAACCCATTTCTTAAATTGAATTTATATTTAATTTAAATTTAATTTAAATAAAAGAAACACAGATGCTTTCATTTCCACGACTCGTATAATTTCGCATATCCAAATTCAAACAAAATTAAAGCTCATATTTCCCCCAAAAGTTTAATTAATAAACTTTGGGGAAACGAAACACCAACCCAAAATAAACATCAAATTTCTATTCAAAATTTGGAATCTCGTTGAACGCTTTAAGAAATATCACACCAAAAAGCCAAAACGCCCAAAATGTGGCCGAAACTGGAGACGAAAATGCGTTGAGTTAACCCTTAGCCCCATGCTCATGGCCATGCCCCACCCCCACCCCACCATCTCTGTTCAGAAAAGGGGCATTTAAGTTCTCGTGCCCAACCACGTACCCAAAACCCACTTTAATTTGGCAAAAATCTAGGCATATGCCGTCAAGGCTTTATGGTTTCACCTTCAGAATTGCCGAAAAATGAACGGAATAAAAGGAAACCCTGCGGCGTCTCTGATTACACGCCCACACACTCGCACACACACACACAGAGAGAATGTGAATGCCACGTGTACGTACGTACATATGTGGCAGCGGCAGCAGCACCGCCAGCAGCACCTCTCTAAAATGGCAAAATCAATAGTGTTGCCAGAACAAAAAAAAAGCACCCAAAAAACCAGAAAGTTGGGGGGGAAATATGCCTGCCATTTGGAAACATTAATTGATTGAATTTCCGAGGCGCAACCAAGTGAGAAGACAAAGGCGAAAAGTTTCTTCGGGTGGCATAAATATTAATATGACAGCAAAATTATGCGTGGCACAAACAAATGTTTAAAATTCAAACAAGACCGCCCCGCCCCGCCCCACATCCATCCATTCGTTTGCCCCCACAAAAAGAAAAGCCATTCAAGGACACAGCAGGAAGGCGGCGGCCTGAAAGTAACAACAAGGACAACGACAAGTGTTTAAATTAATAAGTATGACGGAAGGACTTGCCATTTGCCATTTGCCATTTGCCAGACCAGAAACCCTCTCTCACCCAATTTTTCCATTGCCATTTCCTTTGTGCGTTGCCAGGCGTCGGCCTAAAAGCAGGCTGTGAAAATTGTACGCGTATGGCGGCTGCGGTGAAATTAATTTTCATTGAGGCAGAGCAGAGCAGAGCAGACCAGGGCGAAGCGTGCTGTTCGACTAGCTGCTTTTCCTGGCACTACAACGATAACTTTTGCCCGACAATTGTTTAGATTTTCGGCGCATTTCATTTGCATTCATTTACTAATTACACGAATATTAATTGAGTGATTCACTTGAAAACTATTTCTGGCATTCATATTAATTCATATTTGCAAGAAGAACTGGCGACTGACTTTCCGCCGCTGCTGTGCTTAACTTTTCGAGCTTTTCGTGCCAATCTCCGGGAATCTATGGCACTGATGATACGCGCTAATTGTTCTAATGCGCTCAGGCAGTAAGCTGCTTAAAATTGCTCACAAATTGCAGGAAACGACTAGAGAGAGAGGCTGCTGTTGGAAAGAAGTAGGAAAGAACACGCACACACACACAGATGGGTGGTAGGGTGTGTAGCTAGGAGTGGAATGGATGGGACTGCCTCTGCTGAGGTATTAGCCGAACTCTGGCATTGACACCACCATGGGAAAAGGTTGATAAATACCTCACAAATTGCCGCCATGCTGTTGGCCAAACCGATTCCATGGGGGGAGCTTGTAAAGTAAGGGCAACTTTGGGAGCCAAGTAATCTGTAAGCTATAGGACCTAGGGATTAATAGATGGATATATAGATAGACTTACAAATAAATATGGCAGTAATTGGCATTCAATTAAGAAAAGATCCATAGACAGATTGGTATTGGTATACAACAAAAATATTGGGAAATACATAGAGATCACAGAACCCAAGGAAATATAATAATAAAATAATATAAAATAATAATATATTCCAGCAAACATTGCAGACAACAAAGACCGAATGATCTTTATACCATTCACGCTATCAATATTTTAGGCAATAAAAAAATTAGTACAAGAAAAAGTGCAAAAGATTATTGGCTTTCTTTAGATAAGGGCTGTCCAGAGTTCCCCTCCCCCAAAAGTACTTGCACTTTCCTCCGGCGTACAGTTAATCTATCGCACCACCCACGCTCCACACAGCTCTTCAGCTTTCGAGGCACAGCAACAGCAAAAAGAACTTGCAAAAAGCAATATCATAATCATTGCCCGAGTAGCGTAGCATAAGTACGTACATTTATGGTTGGAATTTTTAAAGCTAATTCACAGTTTGCTCTTTGAATGTTCTTTTGGCTCCAGGGACGAGCCATTGCGCGGCGTTGGTGGCCTATGGCGATGGAGAAAGGGCACAATATACTGGGCACACTTCTCGGGCTCGTTGAGATGCACATGATGGGTGCCCTGCACCTCGTAGAACTCAAAGTTTGGGTTATTTGTACTGAGAATGGAGAAGGCCTCGCTGGGCCCCAGAAACGGCGACTCGGAGCCCTTGATGATGAGGTAGGGATTCGTTGCGATGCGACGCGCCATCTCCGCAAACAAACCCACATCGAGGTAGGCGTGATTTAGGAACTTTATCCGTCCATCCCGTGAAAAGTAATATTTTGACGGATACAGCTGCGACCTGGTCACCTGGCGGTGCAGCATGTGATGGGCCACCTCGTAGCGCACCGATTGGAAGGTGCCCTTGTTCAGGGCACGGCACAACGTATCCAGCGTGTAGGCGGGCGGCTCGCAGCTGATGCCCTCCAGCAGTCGCTCGTCCTCCCCCAAATGCTTCTCCATATTGCGGGCCGACAGCCGCAGATTGTTGCCGTCCGGCTGCCTGCTTTCGGATATCAAAATGTCCAGCGATATGACCAGGTCCACAGTGTGCGGCGCAAGGGCCGCATACACAAACATCAGAATGGCGCCCATGGAGTGCCCCAAAAGGGAGACCTTTGGCCAGCCATATTCCCTCATTACTCGCGGTATGATGTACACGTAATCATCGACGCTGTAGTGCACGCCCGGCTGCAGGTGCGACGACCTGCCATGGCCAGGCAGATCGATGCACAGCACACCCACATGGTCGGGCAGCAGCGGTATCAGTCGGTCAAAGGTGCCCAGATTGTCCAGCCATCCGTGAATGGCCAGAATGGGACGCTCCTTTTGATTGCCATACCAGCGACCCGATATATGACCCCACGGCACCGGAATTCTCACATCTTTGAACTGCAAAGACCCATGGAGAAATATGTAGGAAAATTTACACTTTTTCCATTAAATGAAAACACTCACATCATCAAGCGACAGCGTGCCCATCCTCATAAACTATGCGCCCAGAGTGGCAGCCTCGAATTCAGTGTCTTATCTGAACAATTTAATAATACGCAACTTATTTTGTTGTTAGATTTATTTTTACTATTTTTGGGCGACTGTTCGCTCAAAGATCTATGCACGGAATGATTCCGTCTTGGGTTTTACTTGGTAAACAAGCGCCAAAAAGCGACAATGTGGAACCCATTGCGTACACAAAAACACAAACAGCATATAACGAGAGAGAGAGAGCGGAAGAGAGAGAGAGCCGTCTAGGTGCTTTCTAGCTTTTTTCTTATCTCCTGCACCCAAAAAAATCTTTTTGGGACCCATACAAAATTTCGGGTTTTCAGCTGTGTTTCAGCAGTGAATCGGTTAGGAGGAAAAGCTATGAGGTTAGAGGTTGTCTGTTTTCCCAGCCTGATATTCCCCAATAAATTCCTCAGTGGAACAAATTAACGTAATCCCACCTTTGTTTTCTATTTGCATTGCCCACTGCATATATACATATGTATATTGTAACCGATTATAATTACTCACGGCAGTGGCCGTTCTTTCGCCTCTTTATATCTCCTTCTTCATTTACTACTGCAGCTGCAGCAGCAGCATCTATGCTGTTCTCTCGCATTCTCTCTCTCTCTCTCTATCTATCGCTCGTGCTCGGCTCAGCAGCAGCCGAGCTTCTATCGCTTCTTTCGTTCTCTCCCTCTCTCGCTTGCATTAGGGCACGGGCAATTCGGTCCGCCTGCCCTCTTCTTTCAGTCTTTAATTGATCGTCATCATTATCGCACTCACGTTCTACCGTCTTGATCAGTTCTCTCGCATATTGAACAGACCCTGCGTCTTCAATTTTCCTCGCTTTGATTTGATCAGCCGGTACATCTCGCTTTTACTTTCGCTACACCTGCACACCCCATATTTCGCCTACTTAACAAATAAACTGTACAGTGTACACACATAATCTATGTATATCGAATCCGCTCGACTTCTTATTTAATCTATATTCAACAGCTAGTGAAAACAGAGGTATTTATAGGGCACATAATACCAAGGGAATTACAGGGAAGTACACACAGAAATTCAAATAAAAATGTATTCCAGTGCAATGATTCCCACTGACACCTAAGTAGCGATCCCTCCACCGGTAATCCATTGTCTTATCTGTATTATTTTGCTCTGTAAAAACAAACCTTGAATTGAATGTTTCCCAAATTTGACTATTTTTAGATTTTATTTGTGCTCAACGATCTAAGCACGCAAATACTCTCAATTTTTAATACAAATCTCCTGCTATAAGCTACGTTCCTTACAGTTTGCTTCTGTGTTTGCTGGGCTTGTGCCTGGCGAAGAACTGCTCCTGCGCCAGTCGTCGCTCCTTGGAGCTGAGCTGTGCCTCTTGCCCCGCCAGAGACCAGGTATTCAGAGTAGGCGGACGATGGTGTCTGATGAAGGGCACAATGTACTTGGCGCACTCTTCGGCCGCATGCAGATGCACATGATGGGTGCCCTCCACTTCGTGCAGCTCGAAGTGTGGATTGCTTTCACCCAGTATGGACATGGCCTCGTCACAGTGGCGTCCCACATATGGCGACAGCGAACCCTTGATGATGAGATAGGGCTTTCGCTTGATGCGTCTCGCCATCTCCGCAGCGAGTCCTTCCTGGAGGTAGAGGTGGTGGTAGAACTTGACGCGTGCATCGCGCGAGAAGTAGAATCTGTCCGGGTAGAGCTGCGACTTGGCCACCTGGCGATAGAGCAGATGCTGTGCCTCCTTGGGGGGCACCGAGTTGTAGCTGCCCTTCGCGAGAACTTTGCGCAGTTCGGGCAGCGTGTAGGCGGGCGGTTCGCGCAGGTTGCCCTCTTCCTGGCGCTCATCCTCCACCAGATGCTTCTCCATGTTCCGGCCAAGAGTATCCAAGTCCTTTCCTCTGGCATTGATGGGAATGGGCAGCAGTATGTCCAGCGAGATGATCATGTCCACAGTGTGCGGTGCAAGGGCCGCGTACACGAACGAAATAATGCCGCCCAAAGAGTGGCCCATCAGCGAGACCTTGTGCCATCCGTACTCCTTCATAACTCGCGGAATTATGAACACGTAATCGTAGACGCTGTAGTGCATTCCCGGCTGCAGGCGGGACGACCTGCCATGTCCGGGCAGATCGATGCACAGCACACCCACATTGTCGGGCAGCAGCGGTATCAGCCGGTCAAAGGTCCCCAGATTGTCCAGCCATCCGTGGAACGCCAGAATCGGTCTTTCCGTTCGATTGCCATGCCAGCGACCCGATATATGACCCCAGGGCACTGGAATTTTCACCTCTTCGTACTGCAAGAGAGAAACACGGTTCAAATTATGTTGCGTTTCAGTTTTATGTAGGATAGTGTAGACAATCAATCGATGCCGGTTTTTATTGTTTACTGTTTCTTTTTCTTTTTTTCGCCAACTCACATCTGTCAGCGACAATGTTCCCATCGGCCTATTGAACTTTGAACGGCGGGGGCAACTTTTAATGCGTGATCCAGCACTAATTGCGATGGCAACACCCACAGTATTTATTATCTGTAGTATCTCGACTAGGCCAGCGTGGGGAGCGAGATAAGTCTCTTCCGACTTCCCCTTTTGAGTTCTTACAGCCCAGCAAGCTAAACAGCTGTGCGCGGAATGAAACGGAATCCAAGTGCTGCAGCAGACATAGTGCCAAAGAGAGCGCCTGGCTAGCGGGGGTTTTGAAGAGAGCAATCAAGCTTTATGCACGAAGAGAGAGTGCGTACAGGTTCTAGCGAGCGTGCGAGATAATGAGTGGGAGAGCGAGCCAGCAAGCACTAACAAAGCTTTCTTTATGCTCTCTTCTCACATTTGCTGGAACGAGCAGATTTTTGTTTTTTGTTTGTTTTCATTTTTGCGCTGCGTTCACATGTTTTTTCTGAATCGATCTTCTATTCTAAGCAATATTATACGCTTTATTTTGCACTAATTTGTTGCTTAGCAAATGATTTTTAAGCCTGAAATACTTTTAGTTGCTGCCAGTCGGAGGTTTGAGCGAATACTGTGCTCAAATCGAGCTTTAAAGCAGCCTGAAAAGATCACAGAGCGAGCGCAAAAAGCTTCAATCCACTTCTTGCGTTGCATTTCAGAAAGCTTTCATTTAGTTGATGATTTCAATTCAGTCATCCTTGAAATGCCAGAATTGGGAAGCTCCTAATCTTTAACTACTAACTTTTATGAGCTTCATCAAGTTAAGAGTTATCTGCGTCTATCTCTGTCTACATACATATATACTCGTGGGTGTATGTAGCTCTTTGAGGCGCGAATCGGATTCCAATCTTGCCAGCAATCATAATGCCCAAGAGATTATTTGCGAGAGAGTGAGAGAAAGAATCACAGCTACTCGAAGCTTTCGCCATGCGCCTGGACAACACCTTGTCTGAGGTCTCGATACAAACAGACAGCCAAACAGATCGCAGTGAGAGCGAAATGTTTACGCACTGAAATGGCTTTAACAGGCTGTATGCAGCCCCTTTAATCTTTGTACTGGAATCAGTTCTGTATGAAGGAATTCCCTCACTCAGTACATCAGTCAGTCAGCGATTCTGAACTTCTGAACTTTTCATAATTCCGATCTGCTTTAATGGCTATCATACAGCTTCATGGCTGTCCCTCCTGGGCTCAATCATCCAATTTGCCTTTTCGAGGCATGGCAGCTTCGCTTCCATTCCATTTCCAGGGTCCGGTGCAGAGTCAATAAACTGCCGAGAGATTTGGGGAATGTGTCGATTACTACGTGACTCTCCAAACGAGTTGTGCACCGTTCGTTGGTCGCACCGTTGCACACCGATACGCGGCGATGACCATGACTCCGCCGTGTTGTCCTTTCAAACTGCATTGAGCACGTGCCATGGCACTTCTCTGCTCTCCTTTCTGATGGTTCGTTCCGCCACCAGCCAAGCGAAGCAAAATGTGGTTGCATGCAACTTAAATGGGGGTGGGCTAAAGGGTGTGCTGTGTTGTCAGTTCTTTGCCAACTTTAAGCTCCTTCTGCCGCCTGATCGATTACTTAACGATGTCCCAATCCGCTTCTCGGGGTTAATCCGTAGACTCCGCCAAGTGCAAGTCCCTTCCAGCTGTCAACCAGAGTGCGGATTACCTTCCGCTGTCTTTATCCTTGACTAACTATATAACTACTCTCGATGCCGTCTAGATAACACCCTTTGGGCACCCCTAATTTGATGGCTTGTGGTTGGTTGGGGGCTGTGCATTTCCATCTCGTGTGCAGCCATGATTTATCTTTAATTTATGTTTGAGTAATTTATCATGTCTCTCTCAGTGTGTGTTTTTGGGGGTCACACAGTCACACACCGACCCCCCAAAGCCAAGCAATTCCTTTCCTTCGAGCGAGCTGCCTGTCTTCCTTTTCCTGCCTTGGCAAAATGCTATGCAAATTGTCTTGAGCATTCCCCAAAGTTAAAGTGCCATTTCCCAAGCACACACACATACACAGAGAGAGAGAGAGAGAGAGAGAGTCAGCCTACTTTCTCGTCCCCCCTCTCCGATGTGTGCGTGCGTATTTGGCCTTGAATCCATAATTTGCTTGTCAACGGCAGCCTCTCGTGGCACGGTTGCTGCCGCAGCCGCTGCTGCTGGCTGCTCCACCAAAAATTGTGCGCACATAATTGAGTTCAAGCATTTGGAAGCCAATTATGATTTTCACATTTTCACCCAATTTTCGCTCGCCTCTCTCAATGCTGCCGCTTCTTTCCACGCGCTCTTTTTGTGCTGCCTCTTGGTCCTGCCTCGCTTGCTTGATGTGTCCTTCCCTTTGGCAGGCACTTGCCTGATGTGTCCCCCCCCGTCCGCCCTTTTGTCCGCCTTGCCTTTGTCCCTTTGCTTTTGCTCTTTTCACATCTCAATCAAGTGGGTGATGTGGGGGGCGTCCTTGGCCCTTTCTGCTGTTGGTGGCTCCTGCTGGGGGGGTCGGGAATTGAACTTTAGCTGCCAGCTCCCATTTGGCCATCTTTAAACTCGAACCACTGGCTCTGGGAGCGTCTTTAAGCCTTCAGCTTCAGGTAGTGGTCCTCTCTCAGCGTGGTCCTGCTCCTCTCTCAACGTGGTCCTGCTCCTGTTGCCTGCTGCCTGCTGCCTGATCATTCCGATGTTGCTTTAATTGCTTCTGCCACTTAACATATGCAAATTGAATTTAATTCTTTTGCCTTTAACCAGCTTTCCTCAAGTGGCTGTGGCTGTGGCAGGGCCTCACCTTTAGTTTGATAAATATTTATGATTGCCAATGATAGTGCGTTGAACAACGCAAAAAAGGGTTCTGTGTGCTAGGTAAACCCAACACCACACCCCACCCCACCGCACTGCACTGCCAAAAGGAAAAGCGGCAAAAGAAAAGAACAATAAACAATACAGCGGCAGGCACTCAACGCAACGCAGGAACTCAACGCATGGACTCTGATGAAGCTCTCAACCTGTCAGCATCGGATCGGTTGTAGAATGGGGGTGGGGTGGGGGGTGTAGTGGATGGCTTGGGCTAAGTGTGTGCCGCATCGCGCTCGAAAGGAGCTTGGAGCTTGTGAGCCGGGGCTCAGGCCAACAAAAGATACCGCCGGAAGTCTCGAGCTGATACGCCATGCACCTTCCAACAACAACAACAGAGGGAAAAATAACCCCAGTAAAAAACCAGGGAAATGGCTGTGGAAAACTTTCGCAACTACTCCCCCCACGCCCCCGCTCTCCTTGGCTATTATTCTTTATGTGTTGCTATTTTTTGGCCGGATTCTCTCTGTCAGGGACCAAAGTGCGAAAGAGATTTAAGCTCGAACAATGGCTGCAGGAGGCAGGGGAAGCTGTGTGGCTGGGGAACGTAGGGGGGGGCTGTGGCACACGCAGAAAAAACAACCCACCGAAACTGAAGAAGAAGAATGTGAAATGTGTGGAATTGCATTAAGAAATCATTTTCATTGTGCGGGGGGTAGCTGTGGGTGTGGTTCTTTTTCCACCTCTAATTCAAACATTTCTTCGCTGCATTTTTCCATGCGTCTGTGTGTGGTGTGTGTGTGTGTGTGTGTGTGTGTGCGGGCGGTTTTTTGGCCGCAATGCTTTAACTAATGAATTTGACTATTTTATAAGGTAAGGTGGAGCCCCCGAACCCCGAACCCCGTAGCCCATACTCCTTCTGCCCCCCTCTCTGCTGTGTGCATTTAATTGTATTTCTTCTAATTATACAGCAGCAGCAGCAGCCGCATTTGCATTTGAATACATTTGCATACTCGTACGAGCTCTACACACACACACACAACACACACACACAAACACTCGCACACACATGTAAGACTGTATACAATTCGTACTTTTGCATATTACAATTAGAAATTCCAGAAAATTACGAATGTAAACGCAGAGAGAATTTTGTTGTTGTCATGAAAATTTAATGCTGCTGCAGCCCAAACCAGACCAGGCCAGACCAGCCCCTCTTTTTTTTCGCAGCTTTGCCTTTTTTTTTAATTGAAGGTGAGGGTGAGGGTTGCCCCGAATCGCACTCAACCTCCTTCGTACGTAAACTTTAGAAATTGGATTAGGCAAAAGAGGGAAAATGTTGGCAAAAAGGGGAATCTGGGGCACAGGGAATTTACAGAAAGAAATGTGTGTGCGAAAATTCTGTCATAATAAAAGAGTAAAAAATTATCTTGTACCAGAGCATAAGAAGAGAAAGAAAGAACGAAAGAAGGAGAGGAGTTAAGCCTTGGAGGGGCTAACCGTTTTGGTGACCTTTCGACCAGCGGTGGGCACGCTCCTTGAATTTGAAAGGAGTCCAAGAATAACGAGCGAGACTTGAATCGAGCGGCGATCAGTCACACTCTGCTTGTATTTTATTTTTAGAGGGATTCTGGATGCCTAGCATGGATAATCTCGGGAGACAACACCATAAACCACAACTCATTTACATTTACACACACATTTAAGTAACTTAATTTCCACTAGTTAATAATTAAATTCAACTAGATAAGTTATCTTCCCTGCACCATATTTTCACTAATTTGTCATTAATTTACGTAATAAAACTAAACTATAGCCCATCCACACAGTCACCCACAATAATCGTACAGGAATACAAATGGTTGTTCGGTTGGGACATATTTCCATTTGGTTCCACTTCAGATGTACATTAATCCACTTGATTTCCAGTCTCACGCCTCACACAGCACCAAGCAACCAACGGGGCAATGATTTATGAATCTCCACGCTGCCACACCCACTCCCACGCCCACCCAATACTCTCTCACACTCTCTTCAAAGTCCTCTCTTTAAAGTCCTCTCTTCATCATGTCTATGCAATTTAATTTGGCACTGCAATTGCTTAGGTTGATTTTTGGTTAATCAAGTGTCCACCTCAGCAGCTGGGAGACCTCCAGGCAGGCAGGGTCAGGCAGGCAGGCAGGGGCAGGCAGGCAGGGGCAGGGGCAGTCAGTCAGTCAGACAGGCAATCAGAAATCAAGCCGGACACGTGCCGCAAGATATACCCAGTCCGTTCCAATAAATTAATTAGCCACAATATTTATGATTATTGCCCCAAATGATTTTCGCTTTTTCTTTTCTTTCCGTTTTGGATTTCTGGTTTTTGGCTTTGGTTTTGGTTTTTGGTTTTTGGTTTTGTTTATGTTTTGGCAGGCAGTTCATAAATAATTCGTATAATTTATGCACTGTCATTGTAGATATTATATTGGCTAATGGCAGGAAGGCGTGGCATTTGTCAGGCAGGGCATATAAACCGATTGTTTATGCTCAGTCCAGCCCCTTTACCCCTCAATGCCCACAAATCGAATACTCAATTGCCTGGCACACAATTGGCAATGGAAGGAAAAGCTGAACGTAGATGCGAGAGAGTACGAGAGTAGGAGTAGAGTAGAGTACGATTTCATAATTCAAAATGCTTCGATTTATGGGACCAAAACTGGCGAAATTCCCCTGTGGGGTTTATCTTCCTCTCTTCCTTTGGCTTCCCTCTCTTTTTTCTCCTACTTTTTG